ATCGGAATCTGACGATGTTAAATTCTAACTTCAACCAATTTACGACATTGCGCAATCATCTTCCACCCAATACGGTTGAACTAAACTGGTCATAGCTTCCCTCTCGAAGCTAGTCACTAGTGAATACATGATAGCTATCGGTATAGGGTTGTGAAGATTGTTGGGTTTTATTAGGAAGAAATGGCCGTTTAAAGATCCCCGGTTCTCAATGTCAGTCGGTTCATGATTTCAGTGTGATAGGTTAGTTGAGGGAGTTTTATACAGATTAGATTAATTTTTAGACTGTATTCTAAAAAAACATCTTGAAATGTGAATAGGTTTTTTGACTTGGAACTTGTCTGATCATGTCAACAGAAATGAAGTATATGTGTGTATCCGCATTTCAATTTTATATTACTCCAGTGGAAATATACAAATGAAGCAAAATATTGAAAGTTCAGTTGTGTAAATCATTATTTTATTAATCCTTATTGATAAAATTTGGAAGTATAAATAGGATATGAATGATGAAAATCCCAGATATAGTGTTTGAAATGTCTTGGACTATACGCTACAATATGAAACACATCAAATTGTATTTTCTACTAATTTGAGAAAAATTTAAATAAGACTATCAGGTAAAATATTGTGGTTATTTGTAAACGTAAATAACTTATTCTAAATGTCTTTTTAGCTTAGTTGCTTAGCACTCGTGATGCTATTCAAACAGATCCTGATAATACATGATATATAGCATTAAATACTTAGCACTTTTAAATTTAATGAAGTAATTCATTTACCAAGTGCAATTTCATGTAATAGGCTTTAAGACACATTTCAATGTCATCGACAGTGGTATTACTCAATAGAACACAATTTAAAATTGTGACTCAGTGATTGAATGTCAATTGGTTAAACTATCAAACTGACGATACATTGAAAATAATACATACATTTGTATCAAAAGGCGTTTTGTGGAGATTGTAGTAATTTAAACAGTTGAGATCATGAGTCAATTGAAGCTAGACCACCATGGAAAACCTGGAAGCACTGGACGGCCGTTTCGTCCTATTGTGGGACTCCTCAGCAGTGCGCATCCACGACCCCGCCTCGCGGGATTCGAACCCAGGACCTACCAGTCTCGCGCCAGGCGTTTAACCAACTAGACTACTGAGCCGGCATCCAACGGTGCTAACGTCTAACTTCAACTGCTGAGTCCCACAATAGGATGAAACGGCCGTCCAGTGCTTCCAGGTTTTCCATGGTGGTCTAGCTTCAATTGGCTCATGATCTCAACTGTTTAAACGTGCCTTTGTATACAAACGTTTTATTTCGAATATGATAGTAATATCTGGTTTAACATTTACTAAAAAATCAGGTTAATATAATAAAGTGTTTAATAGTATTCAGTATATCAGTTACTTTAATCTTTACCAACATACTTTACAGAGCGACTTGTGTAACATGATTTCATAAATTTTTTTTAAAGATTGTTCGGACAAAAAGGAGTGAACTGAAGTGCATTCTCAAAATGTAGTTTACGATAAAGTATTATTGTTTAATTTCTAATGACTAATAGTCTTATTTGAAAATATAATCTTGCCAGCCTATAAATCGACAAGAAAGTAATTACTTGAAATAAGTTTGGATCACTTCAGTAAGATACATAATAGTATAACATGCAAATAATAAGATAATACACATTGTATTTTGCAGGAAAATGTTGGGTAAAGTTTAGTGTGAACACATTATGTAATAGGATTTGAACCGATGACTTATGGGGTTTTTTCGTTCATACATCAATATATAAACTTTTGGAGATAAGACTGTACAATGGTGAGTATACTGATGTGTAAATTATCTTAGGATAATGAGAGATATGAATTATTTCACTGTATGGATATTACTAAGCTTTATAACTATGAATATGAATAATAAATTTTCCATATCACAAAATATTAACCAATAGAACTGTACTTAAACAATTTATTCCACATAATAAAGGTTAACTGATAAATGAAACCTGGAAATGTACACAAGTGGAATATTAATAAATTCTCTCTCCTGGGAATATAACTCCATAAACATAAAATATCCAAACTAACAGTTATTATCAAATAAAAATTTAGTACACTGAATCACTGGACTGTTTCTAGACTCCTAAAACTTAGATTCTTCTACTGAGAAAGAAAAACGAAATTATAAGGTGGAAACATGAGAGGAATTTTACTGTTTAAGTTAGTTCATGTATAGACTAAAGAATATTTATTGATCTACAAGTGCTCTTGATTTTTTAGAAACTTAAAAAAGGTACTAAGATTGGTTATGAATCGTCCAATTAATCAGCGACATTAAAGAAGAGCATGAATAGTACAGCAGGTCCTAAAAACTTTCCACACTCTAAGAACTTTCCAAGAAAAAAGCAGTTTCATAGTTAGCATCACGGAACGATCTCAGTTAAACGACCACTAAAAACTGGGAAGCACTGGATAGCTGTTTAGTCATAGTATGGGACTTCTCAGCAGTGCGGATCCACAATTACGCTACTATGGATCAAACCCAGAACGTTCGGTCACACACGTGAACGCATTGACTCTAAACCAATGGGCCGGCATCCAATGGCTTACACATTTGACGTCTACCAATTTATAATATCGCCCGATCATCATCTTCCAATGCACTTGGTTGATAAGTGAGTTACATTTGACAAGACTGAAGTCTACTGGTCATGGATTTCAACTAGAACTCCGAAATTACATCCATAATCAATTAACGGTAATTATATGAATTTCCCTACAGTCTAAAAAATTTTTCAAGTTATATACAGGCGTCTCTTTATATTTATTACTTTATTGAGTCTCTCTATTGAAAGAGAATCACAAAGTAATAACTGATCTAGAATTTGATGACTCACACATTTCAACTTCGATACATCAACAAAACATTATCACTATCATTTAGTCAGTTAGTCACATGCAACATCGAACCTAGTACAGGTGTTTATCGGTCCAAGTTTGCACACAGAATTTACACAGCGAAATGAAATTATAAAGACAGATACCAGAATTCTACAACTAGTAACAGTATCGGTGGTAATAGAAAACATTAAGTATAGAATAAAGGACGAATTCGTGGGATGGAGAAGTATAAATTCTAAGTAGAGAAAAAGAAGGATCGCATTAACGTAGGTGCTACTGATTCTGAGTCATATCACATAATATTTTCAAACACTGGTTACGAGCATCGCATAGACTTCGATCAGATAGTCTGTACCTGCCTAAACGGCTCAGTCTACAAGTTAATAACTTCATGGACTGACACTGATTCTTAGTTTGGCTAATCCTAGCTTTCTTCCACTTCATTCCTAAACCAAACAATATCTGTCGAGGTAGGGAACGGTTGATCATACGGAGTACACGTCCCAATTACCTCAGCAGAAGATTCACTACTTCATCAACCACTTTATCATTTGAGTTTAGACTTAGCATTAGTCCCAACATACACGACTAATGTGCTTAAAAAGGATCTATGATAAGGAACATATACGGCATGAATATCCTCTGTTTTCGAAGGCAATGTTTAACAGCCAAAAAGTAGAATAAAAATAACATAACAAATGGCAACTTTGAAATTATGTATCCTAAAATAAGTTATACTGAATCCAGTGTGCAACAAAACAATTTCAATACCAATAGTAACACAAAACAAATAAAGGATTAGAAAACCCGAAGTTAAGACTAAAATATGTTTAGAGAGAGAAAAAAGAAACCTTTTTGTATGTATAAACTCATAAATTACTTATGATGCATAAAAGCTCAACGCCTGCCTCTCACAAAGAAAATCGATGTGAAGGATACAAACAACTAAGGAAGAGAATGTTACATGCTCTTGTTTTGCTGGTATGCTTGAATCATACGGTACAACTGTCCTGTAACCAATCCAATTCATTACAAATTTGTATTGATGATACGTCCCGGATTCGAATCTTGCGGGGGTAGGATCGTGGATGCGTACTGCTGAGGAGTCCCACAATAGGATGAAACGGCCGTCCAGTGCTTCCAGGTTTTCCATGGTGGTCTAGCTTTAATTGACTCATGATTTCAACCATTGAAAAATGCTTAACAAATAACTTGGAGGCGGTTCAATATACATCTAATGTATACAAAACCGATTAGCAATAGTGTTTTCTACACATTTTACACAACTGAATTGTACTAGAGATTTATCTATTGGTCCAACTCAATCAGTACATGTTAGTATACTTGACTTCGAGCTATACTTTAAGTGTAAGGGCAAGTGATACCACTTAGTTGCTCAAACCAAAGTAGGTTCGAATCTGTAATGTTAAATGTTAAATGTCTTAACCAGTGAGCCAACCCTCTGTCATTGTGTAAGAAAAGTCTATCATGAATTAATCACAATACGTAGCAAAATAAGTTTCGCATGATGATGATCTTTAGTAAGACGCACTGAGGTTCTTATGTCCAACACAAGGTTCAAATATAAGTAATGTATTCTTTGTGTAGATAGGTTTTCTCTTTGAGATAACCGTCAGAGTAGTGATTGCGAGATTAATAGCTATCAGTTTCAAGTTCTCCTTAGCCTACTTCGGTTTGTGATCCGGATAGTATTGAATTAGATTTCACATAGAAAAGATGGTTAAACATGAACATGTTCTTAGTTATTGGGGTTTGTGATTATGGGATAATGATTGTGAATATCAAATGATCAGCTTGTCTATTAAGGTCGGAACACAGATTAGTATTTTCTGAAACAAAGACTTAGATGTTAGATAGCATAAAAGCTTAGAGAATTTAGGTTGTCTCACTTGAATTGTGAGTATTGTGAAGTCAGTGATTTAGGTAAGCTTAAGAAAGGAAGATAAACTAAGCATAAGTTTTTATGACTAAAGATATTAAACTCAAAAATTTCGCTAGAATTTCATTAGTCCAGTTAATCAACTTTCTATGTATATTGGAAACATAAATAAATAAACTATAACATAATCACTATATAGTTACCTTTATATTCAAAATTTCCTTTCCAGTTGAATCAACTGAGAGTTTTATTCACAAGACCATTGCGGATTTGATTTGTCTATTGTGCGTACAAGTTTGTTCAAAAACGAATTCACTCGTGAATACAATGTCTTGGTGTCAGAGGTGAAATATATATGATTCATTTACACTTAAACACATATTCAACATTTAATGTGCTTTACAAAACAAAAAAAACATACAATTTTTTAAAATAAAATAAAAACATACTTCGCTAGATTCTGAACTATTTGAACGTCTTCGACTACTGGCTTGATCATGTTCTAACGCGTGTAGAACATCAAAATCTGATGATCTGACTTGAACGACATTATTTTTCGTACCATATTCATTGTCTACAGTTGGCTGTTGGGAAAACAGAAAAAAAAAAGATAGTAAAATAAGAATCATTCGTGAGGACGGAGAGGAACAGTGAGGATTGATAAAGTTTACAATAATCATCAAATGATGAACGATATCAGTTTTTTTTTATTGAATAAGAGGAGAGAAAAACAAATAAACAAATAGGTTTGTATGATTTTTATTTTCAAAAACCAACAGCCTATACATAGTAACTGGAGGAAGTTTGAATAATCCTTTTTTCTTGTTAACAAAAATATAAAGGCTTGTCTTACAGGTCGAAATTTGAAATTGAATTCAATAAAAGGAGTAGAACATAGATGGTTTTATTTATTTCTATCATGTTGTTTTATTATTCATCATTTATTTACATAATACTTTGATTATATTTTGAGCATAGAAGGAAAAAAATGAATAGAATTTCTGTAATAAAAGGGATTAAAACGTTTGCGTTTTTATTATCATTAAACAAGTGGAGTAGACAGCTTTGTGTTGAAGTCACTACTTACTCAGTATAACAATAATATTTGTCGTATTGAACTATATACTTTGAACATTCTCATATTTACAACAGTCATTTTTTCACATTGTAAGAAGAAATGATTAAGACTATATATTGTGTAGTATATTCATGTAACTATATCAGTGTTTGTAATGTCACAATCATGTGCATTCTTCAATTTTAGTTTCCTTTAACATGTGATGCTTTCTCACTTCACGTACTATTTGACAAATAAATATAAGTATTGTAGACATAGATATATTATGGTTAACCATAGAATATGGAATATATGTTTCATCTTATATGCGATTAGAATCCAATAGATTCTACTTCAAACATCAACATGTAATTTACTGAGTTCAAGAAGGATATAATGTTTCCATAATGTAATAAGAAGACAAAGATTATTAGAACTATGTGATATGCTAGCGCAATACATTTCGAACAATCTGATCACACATATATATGTTAAGAGCATTTATATATAAAAATAAAAGGTCAACTAGACTGGAAACGGGGTAAGAGAAGATAAGGATAATTGACAAGAGTAATAATAATAATGTGAACACAATTCGAAATCTAATCACTCTGGATAATAAGTCAATATTACCAGGGTAGATTAATAACACTAGTAGTAAAAGCTTGAATTATTTTATTGTCAATATTTAGAACTGAATTTTGATTAGTTTTAATTGATAATACATGTGAATTGTGTGAGGATTATCTTGATTTAGCAAAATAGATAGAATGAATATATTATCAGAAGGGGTTTGTGGAGATTTTAGAAATTTTCACAGATTGATATCATGAGCCAGTTGAAGCTAGACCACCATTGAAAACCTGGAAGTACTGGATGGCCGTTTCGTCCTAGTATGGGACTCCTCAGCAGTGCGCAGCCACGATCCCGCACCCCGCGGGATTCGAACCCGGGACCTATTGGCTTCGCGCGCGAGTACTTAACCATTAGACCACTGAGCCGGCATGCAACGGTGTTAATGTCTAACTTCAACCAATCCACGAAGTTGCGCCACCACCATGCTGAGTGGTCCCATACTAGGACGAAACGGCCGTCCAGTGCTTCCAGTTTTTCAATGGTGGTCTAGCTTCAACTGACTCATGATTTCAATCTGTGAGAATGAATATATGTTAGCAAAGACTTGTCAAAATTCCGTCATACATTATAACAACGGAATAATTCGAACCCATACTACTAATAATCATGATTTGAATAGAGTATTTTAAATATAACTGAAGTTATATTATATGAATATTTAAAGAGTGAATTACATTTTGAATTAGTTCAACGTACCTTTTAGTAATGCTTACGAAAAAAAAGAATTCAATTTTATACTATACTGACTAGGTCACTAATCATCTGTTCACTGCTGGACAGATGATATTCTATGATACGTTAACAAAATTAGAAAATGATATAAATGACTTGTTAGTTGCTCTCGTGGAATTTTACTCAGGAAGTTATTTAGTCTTAAACTGAGTCAAACTTGGCTTAAATATAAATCGACCCAAAATCCTCGTAATTCCAGTTAACACAAAAAGAAAAGATTTAATAAATAAAAAGTATCGGAACAGGAATATTAACAATTTTAAAAACCAATATCTAAGAGAATGAAGACGGTGATAACGTATAAGTTCGAGATTGACATTGAGTCATATGTTCCGGATGACAGGTAAGATATCTGCATCTTCTGACAGTCAAAACTAACCATCAGTGATTTATTTCTTCGTCTGACTAGTTTTAGTCTATACCAAATCGTTCTGTACTAGCTAGTGTAATATGATTTCAGCAGTCGGACATTAGGCCTGAGTAAAATATTTCATGCAACCAATCTGTCTTGTTTATATTCGTGTTCACTGATCTTGGGCTCTCGTTGAGCGTCTAATGATTATGTAAGCTAAGTTTACAGAGGTCATATTAATTAAACTAATTCTTTTAACATTATGGGGGAATTTTCGTTCCTTATTATAAACTAGGGAGATCAGCAACCACGACCTGTCTCATATGGAACAACATCCGACTCTCAAAATTTAGTCAATATTTTAACCAATTGAAGTAATAACACTTGATCACAAACTTCGAAAATTTAGAGTTGCTGGTAGCCCAAACTAATTCAAATAAGACATATTTCTATAAATCTAGACAGATTACATTGTCATAAGGCTACATGGTACGTGAGGAAGAAAATCAAGTGGGTGGATTTGAATATTGATCGAGGATCATACCTATATATCCTAGTCTGCTTATATATATATATATATATATATATATATATATATATATATATATATATATATATATATAGGCAAACAAACGTAGTGTAGAAATTATAACTGCTTTTAAAATTCAACACTGAACGATGGATTGTGTTATATATATATCAACCCATAGACTGTCGAAATTCAAACATATACATCATAGAAAGGTACATATAAAGGTATTATTTATCTGGCACCAATTTCAAATTTCGTTTATCCGACTTAGAAATATTCATGAATAGTTGTAAACTCCATTTGTGGCTCTTCTAAGGATACTGCCGGTCGCAAGCTTGGGTAAACGAGGAGAGTTGGAAGTGGGTTTAACAACCAAATTCCGTAGATAGAAACCTTGCTGACAAAACGCGAATCAGAAGAAAGTAATTTACACCATTTAAACTCTGCTCTGAAAGTTGAAGGAACTTCATTCAAAAGAATTATGTCGCCTCACAGTGAAAGCCGAGATACTTTGGAAGTCACGACGCTGATGTCCCTTCTGACAACCAGAGCGAAAACTACTAAAAGTACATGTACATGTGTTCACGAAAGGACCTGATCATCCTGATGGGACACCTGAGCATCCAAGTCGAAATAGACAACATCGAACATGAAGATATAATGGGACTACATGCACCAACTAGGAGAAAACAACAAGGATGACGAGAGGTTAGCAAACTTGTGTGTGCATTCAACAAAATGGTTATAGGTGACCTTGTATTTCTCCACAGACACATACACATAGCTGCATGAGTCTCTCCTAATCACTCTACAGAAAACCAAACTGATCATATTTGCATCACTAAAATATTCAGAAGATTCATGGAAGAGATGAGAACCAGGAGAGGAGTTGACATGGCCTCAGGTCACCATCCGGTAGTCACCAAAATGAACCTAAAGCTGAAAGAGCACTGAACAACTGAATGATCAGTATTAAATAGGTTCAACACAGCCTTCCTTCGACATACTGATAAACTCAACAACAGGTTCCAAGTTTTACAAGATCTACTCAAAGAAGAAGAAACCACTATGCAGGACAACTGTAAAGAAACCAAAGATGCACTAACGTCAACGTGTCAGCAGGTTTTGAACCGCAAGAAGCATCATCGTAAGAAATAGATCTCTATCAAAATCAGTGACATAATTCAAGTAAGGAAGTACAAAAAAACAGCAATTTACAACAGCCAAACAAGACAGCAGAAAATCAAGACACAGATCAAATACACAGAAGCAAACAAGTAAGTGGAGAGGAGCACTAGCGACTATAAGCAGAAATATATCGAAAACCTAGCAACAACAGTGGAAAAAGCTGCTGCATAAGAAAATATGTAACAACTACATGACACAACGAAGAAACTGACAGGGAAACCAGAATGACCTGTCATGGACAAAGAAGGTAAGTCAATCACTCAGACTCAAGAATAGAGGAACAGGTGGGTGGAACACTTTGAAGAACTCTTGAATAAACTAACCTCACTGAACCCAATGGACATTGAAGCGCTACACACAGGCCTTCCTATAACTATCACTCCACCAACAATAGGAGTAATCGGCATGGCCAACCCAATCACATTTGATGGAGAAGCTCTAGAAGAGGTGGAGACTTTCATGTACCTGGACAGTATCAGTGATAAGCATGGAGGACCCGATGCGAATATAAAGCCAAGAATTAGCAAAGCAAGGGCAACATTCCTACAACTGAAGAACATATGTGACTCAAAACAACTAACAATCAATATCAATATCGAGAACCACTACAACCATCATCAAAACAGAGCAAGTATTTATAAACAATTGTGAGCTCGTCATCAGTGGAATCAATAATTCTGTGAGTCTCTTGAGTTGAATGCATGACAGACTCGTATTTCGAACTTTCAAGTCAAGAATATCAGAAATTCATACAGTGATTTTACTTCATCGAAGAATGTATTATACAACAAAAAAGCATTAAAAACCAAAATATTTCGCTTACTATTCACTCACTCACTTTAGTTGGGTCATGATACCATGCCCCATCAATGAAATACTTATATTGATGAATACCAGGTTTACAATCAATAATTACGTAAACTCCTGAGTTTCTAAGGAAAATAACACAATAAGAATAAGGGACAAAATAACAGAAGAAAATTTAGTTATATATAGTCAGTCATACGCAACAAAGAACCTGTCGAATGTACACATCAGTTCAAGTTGTCACACCATCATAATACAGAGGCGTAATTATCAAGAAAAATGTACCAGTTCTTGTCACTGTCAATCTATTTTCGGGCATCGAATATGTCATTCTAACTCAATCAATCCTAGTTTAATAAGGTAGTTTGTATAAATCTATTCAATCTGAAATTTTTCCTAAATAAGACATTAACTAGGGCATCATCACTGAAAATCAGAAAGCAATGACCAGCTATTTTAGGTTAAACTTTGGTACTCCCGTGGTGTGTGATACTGATGTCCATAGATATAAGTAGTATGTATCATCAGTCGAAAGTGAAATACCTGGCAACAGATTAAAAAAATTAAGGAAAAGAGAACGAGAACAGAGAATGATTGGTGTAGAAACGAAGGAACAATGAAATCTGAGACGATTGACTGATATATTGCAAATGAAGTATTCACTGTATGGTTCTTAGATTTTACACTTAGATTTACACTCCCTGTCTTCCCTTAAAATAAGAGATTAAAATCACTTCATATCTTTCTTTCTACTAACTAATTCTTTCTTCCTATACTATATCCTTATATGCTATCTTTCTCCGATATATTGCCACCTTTGACCTAGCCACTCCTATGAATCCGGTGTTCATCTTGCTGTGCTAATGAGGTATGGCAATCTGGACCGATGCACATAAGTGCCTGGTCCTACGTTGTAGCTGACTGACTGACTGACTCTTAGATTTTACTAAGAGATTCTGTAATTTTGTATCCAAATACATTTGGTTGGTGCCGCTTGTGTCCTCGTTCATCACACTCCTTTAATATCGGTGAGTAGGAACATAATTCCGCAACTTCTGCTCTACTATCTTGGTTGAATATTAAAGTATATAAATAAAAGTTTTAGTTCATAAATATATTCAGTCATTTATCTAGTGGTTGATTCTTTTGAAGGATGACCACTTGGATTTCAGGATTGGTTCATGGTAAAAACTTATTCAGTTCATTTAACCAAGTCACTTACGTTCTCTTACGAATCAAGAAACAATGGAGGGGTGTCTTGGACTCTATAGATAGGAGAGAAATATGATTTTGAAGGAAACTAAATAAGATATGAAACAAATCAAAACTGTCACTACTCTACCAAGGTTAGCACATAAGGATTCAGTATTACTTCGTTGGAGGGGTGGTATGATGAGGCATGAATTACGGCTTATAGTTAGGCATTAATTTCATTCTAACGTGAGTGACCTATTGTTGTCATATGTTTTAATCGTTTATTTATTACATGATTTCTAGTCACGTTTACTTTTGTGTTAATATTTGTGTAGAAGCATGTTATCTTATTACAACGAGAAGCCTATTTTAATAGAAAGCGATCTTGTTTAAGATTTATGTCAATAATTCAGTTTCATAAACCGACATCCGTTGACCACTTCAACTATCAATCAGCATTATTTTATTTTATTTCAGAGACCGAAAATTTATTCACAAAATCGTAACTCATAACATTATCAAATCGATTGTACCATTATAAAATACAGGTTTCTAAACTATAGAACTGAAACAACCATCAATTGAAGAGAGCAAATGTTTTTTTACACAATAATATTTCCTGTCCAATATGTAGTAGTAGTAGTAGTAGTAGTAGTAGTAGTAGTAGTAGTAGTAGTAGTAGTAGTAGTAGTAGTAGTAGTAGTAGTAGTAGTAGTAGTAGTAGTAGTAGTAGTAGTAGTAGTAGTAGTAGTAGTAGTAGTAGTAGTAGTAGTAGTAGTAGTAGTAGTAGTAGTAGTAGTAGTAGTAGTAGTAGTAGTAGTAGTAGTAGTAGTAGTAGTAGTAGTAGTAGTAGTAGTAGTAGTAGTAGTAGTAGTAGTAGTAGTAGTAGTAGTAGTAGTAGTAGTAGTAGTAGTAGTAGTAGTAGTAGTAGTAGTAGTAGTAGTAGTAGTAGTAGTAGTAGTAGTAGTAGTAGTAGTAGTAGTAGTAGTAGTAGTAGTAGTAGTAGTAGTAGTAGTAGTAGTAGTAGTAGTAGTAGTAGTAGTAGTAGTAGTAGTAGTAGTAGTAGTAGTAGTAGTAGTAGTAGTAGTAGTAGTAGTAGTAGTAGTAGTAGTAGTAGTAGTAGTAGTAGTAGTAGTAGTAGTAGTAGTAGTAGTAGTAGTAGTAGTAGTAGTAGTAGTAGTAGTAGTAGTAGTAGTAGTAGTAGTAGTAGTAGTAGTAGTAGTAGTAGTAGTAGTAGTAGTAGTAGTAGTAGTAGTAGTAGTAGTAGTAGTAGTAGTAGTAGTAGTAGTAGTAGTAGTAGTAGTAGTAGTAGTAGTAGTAGTAGTAGTAGTAGTAGTAGTAGTAGTAGTAGTAGTAGTAGTAGTAGTAGTAGTAGTAGTAGTAGTAGTAGTAGTAGTAGTAGTAGTAGTAGTAGTAGTAGTAGTAGTAGTAGTAGTAGTAGTAGTAGTAGTGGTAGTAGTAGTAGTAGTATTCTGTGACCTTCTCTAATTAAGTAGACTTAAAACGTTTTAGATCATGAAATACAAAAACTTGGTAATATTTATTATAACACTTTAACAATAATGAATTTATTTATTTATTTAAACACATAAATATTGGTACAAAGGGGCACTGAATACATATAAGCCACACAGGTCACTTGATTTGTGAGTGGGCTGTGATACTGCACGGGTGCCCAGACCGACACAAATGGTCTTCTTAGGGGGCCACACCCCGAGCCTTCGACCTAAAGGTCTGACCCACAAGACGGTGAAGCAACGTCAGCAGATACAATCCCATAGTAGTCGATGACCAATAATTGGTTCATATGCCATTTGTTCCCTCAGGGTACTGGAGCCCATGTGCACCAATGCTTTTGAATCAGGGTTTTCCAGCTCTCCTAGGTGGACTCTCCGTGTCCACCTTCCTGATTGAAGTGCCAGACATTCGCTTTTCGTCCTCTCAATTTCGTAAACAACAGTAATGCCGCGAGAAGGCAGTGAGTAGGACTTCCCTGGCAGAGGCTATTTACGCGTGGCCATGTGAGAGCATTTGGAGAGGGAAGCGAACTCTCCTCACTCTCGGCCGTACCAGGGCATTTGGTGGCACAATAATGAATATGAAAAACTGACTTTTACCCACGTAATTATACATATATAGCTTATCATAACACAAAGCATTTTATAATTATGAACGGTTACAAAGCATAACATAAGTATTTAAACTGTTAAAATGTTAAGATTAGTGTACTTGAATTAATAATGGATTATAATACTTCTTTTAAAAGAAAACAATCCCATTAATATCACTTTTCAATGTCTATGATACTTATTAATAGTTTTTTTTAGAAGAAACAACTGATTAGTATACTTAAAAAGTCAATGTCAACAAACTGACTACTTATAATATGGATGAATTGATTAATGTAAGTTGAATAGCGATTATGCGGTAAACAATGTTAAGGGTAAATAAAACGCAGACTATATACTTCGTTTTTAAAAAAATATTTATGTTTCAATCAAGAATTTCTGCCGACATATTTATCAATCTTATTTTGACAGGTATAGAAGTAAGTTAACAAAAATGTAGAAGTGACCAAATCAAAACATGGTATCAGTTCATGAAGTCAATGATTATCGATTTGAGCTAATGTTGGTTGGTATTCACGCGATAACTTTCATCAGTGATTGAAGACATTAGTTAATATGAATCAGAATCAGTTATAATGGGACAGAGGGATTCACTCTTTATTTTCTTTTAGATCTCGTGTACCAGTAACCCAGCATGCATACCTTTTCATTCCGCCTTTCCCAATCATATTCTCAATATTTATTCCTTCTTATTACCATTGTTATTACATTATTTCGACTACTTTACCACTCAATTTGTTACACATAACCGATTGCTTTATATTCATAATAAAATAATAATGAATCAAAACTCATTTATTCAGAATAGAATATATATGAGCATCATTTAACACATAATACTTACATTTCATAACCTTGACACCATTATAACCTCTATAATGTTATGATTTATAGTTATTGGAAAATTTGCTACTACTGCTACTACCATCATTATCATTATTATCATTTTGAGATCTTATATTCACTAAAGTGATAGATGATTTCAATGTATCGTAACAAAAAATAACAACATATTGAAATTATTGTTTAGTTAACTAGGCTAGAAAAACTATTTAAACACTAGGAGATACTTTAATTAATCTGGTATTGCAAACATCAGAATTCCAATAGGAAAGAATCAAATTACCAAGCATCACTGCTGAGGAGTCCCACAATGGGACGAAACGGGCGTCCAGTGCTTCCCGGTTTTCCATGGTGGTCTAGCTTCAACTGACTCATGATCTTAACCATCCAAATTATTATAATATCCACAAAACCCATCTGACATTTCAAATTTGTCGAACTCAACTAATTATATGATGTAAAACTAAATTTTCTATTGTCCGATTAAGGCTTAACGGTATCGATTGGTCTTCATTGATTGGTTAGATTCATATAATTCGAACAAATATTTTTGGTAACAGTCTCTTCTTCTGATACATTGATGAAATTTGCTATCATAAACTAACAGAATGATTATTCAGTGTCCTAATAATCTGACCTGATAAAATTTACTGATCATTTGTCATTTAATCGCATAATGGCTGGATTCAAACATATTTGATTGCATAAAATATATGGAATGTGGTTAGTAATGAAATCGAGGACGCGCATTTAGTCCTATTTGGGTGTACCTGAATATATACCAACTAAGATTCCAGTCAAAATATAAACAATGCGATAGTCCAAAGGATTACAAATTAGATTAAAATCCAAACCCGTTGCATAAGTGAGTGGCTACCGGACTCATTAGCCAATTGGATAATGGGTTGGCTTTTGAAACTGAAGGTAATAGATTCAAGTCTTAGAGTGAACAACAATTATAGAATACAGATGCATGTGGCTGAGGAGCTCCAAATAGAATGAAACGCGCTTCCAGGATTGTACTGCTAGCCACATTCTATCTATTCTATACAAACTTGTGTCACGATTGGCTATATCGAGACAATTCTCACAGGATTTACATATACCAACTAAAACTGACCAAATTCCAGTCAAGTTATCAACAACGGGATAATCAGGACAATTATAAATGAACTTAAATTTGATTATGATATAAAACAGGTGTAAAATAACATTCCTTTTTATTATAATACAAGAACAAAATGTACTAAAAAGAGATATTTATTTCACAAAATAAATTACCTTTTAACCATAGGGATTCTTTTCTCCCAATTATTAAAAGTTCCACTAATATATATATCTTTACCACCACCATTCCATCGAAAAACAGTAGGAAGTTTTAAGCCAACCAACTTTCTGGATGGTAAAGTTCTTGCACGATCTCTTGAAACATTATTTAAAATGATTTGTGGTTGACTATGCTTATACATTATTTGTTCATCTGTTGAATATAATGGACCTGCACTAGATGGTCTTTCTTGAAGAAAATTGGAAATTTTCTCATCACCACTAGAAATTGTTGACGTTACCATTTTGTCAGATGGTAGCACATTGTATAACCGATTATTATCATCAAGATTATCATGAGCATCGATTATATTGATAGGTTCACGTAGACTGGCAGCTCGCATCATTGACGTAGCTTCATCAATTGAGATTGTATCTTTGTCATTAGGACTAACATTGTCGTCATCTACTGACATTTCATTATTAGGATAATCGGCTGGAGCAGAACGTGATAAATCCTAAGAGAGAAATTAGGTAATGATAATAAGACTATCGTGTATAGTTTAAATTAGACACCACAAAATAGCCAGATATATTTGATCGATTTCAACTCTTTTTTGTAAAACTGAATTAGGTCAAATTTTGAAATAAAAGTACTGGTTACTCATGGTGTATATACACGTACATATATAAGAGATTATCCAATCGACTGTAAGAAAATGTCACATCAAAAATTTATTTTTAGTGAAGTTGTTCAGGTCACTTTAAAGAAATGAACAACCAAACAACTGAATAGTGATTACTGATTAACTGGAATTAAAAGGTGAATTCTTTGGTCTTGTTAATGATAAACAAAACGAAACGTACATCCGTAAATCACTGATTGGAGGGGGGTGCGGACGGACAAGTAAAGTCACTCATGAAAGTTGACTAGCTAGAACTAAAACTGAAGTGTGCAGCAATGCTTGTAGAGGTAAACAAAAGAAAACAATAAAAAAGTAAGATTTATTCCCAACCCATAAACAATAATTCATTTAACCGAGACCATACTAGATTATACATCTATTATTCGACAGAATGAGGAATTAACGAATAATTAGGCATTTTCTTCTTGTGGGTTGTCCAATTTATTAGCACAATTAAACGAGTTCCAGATGAACATGACCAATAATTTACTAAGTTGACCGTGTAGTTTTTGGTGTTTAGCGTTTGGTTTCTTTGGATAAGATTGACAACCCAGATTTTTCTTGGGAAACGTAAGTACCGTAAAGTCAAGACAGTGAAAGCATTCGCTATGAGCGTAGAAGACATAAACAGATTGCGATCAATTGATTATAAGTGTATTTATGGTATTGCTTGTGTATGATGGAGCTATCGTGTAAGTGATGAGGTAAGGTTTAAGGCATTATGTAGGAAAGATAAGCTGATTGATGAAGTATTAGACTTTCGTCAATTCACGTGATTGAGATGTGCTACCGATATCTAGCCACTGCCAATGAAATGAGTAATAGTGACTAGTATGGGAGTAGGCTGGGAGAAAATGAATGGCAACCAAGCGAAGAAATAACATCGCTTCGTGAAGTTTGTGTGAGTAGATTTAAACTCTGTGTTTAGGACCGGAGAGATAATCATAATGTTTAGCCGTAGACATTTGGTAACACGGCTTAAAATCAGTTGCAATAGCATCCGTGCATATATCTATATGAAAATATTGATATAGAAACGGGCTAGAGCACATGAGTTGTGACTGGCCGGTTAATCTCAGTATCGTTAAATGCTTCACGTTTTTTTCTATTTTATTTGTCCTTTTTTAAGCTGGTGTTTCTTTATTTAACCTTACACGGTAGTTCATATTATTTGCTCTCTTTTGTTTCTCTTTGTATTTTTTTCGGTTTTCTCACTTCTCCGAAATGAGGTTTCCCAAATATGATATATAAACATTTGGGCCAGGTCCTAAATTGTCTACGAGTGGCTGGATCTAAAGAGACTGATGGTATCATGAAAGAGAATCACCAAAAGAAACTAAAAACATCCGATGCAAAGATTTGGTCCGAGGCTCTTTAGTAGCATACAAATTCGATTAGCCATATAAGAATGAACTGATAAGTCTCATATCTTTATTTTTAACTATACATTAGTTGTTTGGTAGCGACTTGATGGTTAACATTGCTAGCAGCATTTTTTTTAGAATGCGACACAACTACGTATCATGGTTGATAAGTATTTAATCTAATTCTATACTTGTTTCGCTCAGAAGTTTACATCAAAGTAAACAATGAGCATGACTATATATCATAAGCCACTCATAAATAATCTAAGCATTTTGTTTCACTATGGAACATAAAATCATTCAAGCTTGTTCACCAACTTAATTGCTAACGAATATTTACACAATATAAACAAGTTATCAACCTATTGAAAGGGCAATCAAAAGTTACTTACTGTCAAACTATGAGTATTTCGTTTTTTCGGTGGAGGGATAGTAACACTGACACCAGGTGGTGTTGAGTTAGGGAGTCTGCCACAAACGTCTCCAGAAAAGCGTCTTTTATAGTGAGTCGGAGTATTCCCCATAATTGAGTATACACAGATTTACAAATTATTTCGAAATCTACAGAAAGATTTAACAAAGGCATTTATATAATATTTAATTTACGATAACAGTAAGAAGAAGAAGAAATGCCACGTAAAACAGCAGCTTGATGGGTGATGTGAAATAGCGTCGAGAGAGGTGATTGAGACAAGTTAAATACATCCAATAATCGTCTATCTAAACATGTATGCTTTCTGGAGTGGGAGTAAATACGACAAAAATATCTCAAGGCACTTAAATTAATGACACACTCATTAAATCTCCATCAGAAATATATATAGGGGTTTCTCGACTTTATAATTCATATCTACGAAATAGCGGAAATGAATCATCGGAGCAATTAGGCTACGTAGACCAAGTCAACCTCACCGATAAAGAATAATCTATTGCCAAATTTCTCCTGAAGGTTAATACTTTATTGTAGTTTTTTCTGTGTGCTATATTTACTTATTAAACTTAGTTTTTCTTATTAACTTAGACACAAACATTGATACAAGGAGGCACCAAATAAACCACTCGATTTATGTGAAGGCTGGGATAATGCACGAGTGCGGTTAATTTTAATTCTTTTATTAATTTCCCGTTCACTATGAATTCTCCCATAGTATACGATAATTAGGCAAATATCTACGTATTTACTTTGACAAGTATATTATTTAGTACAAAGATTAGTGCAACATAAATTATCATATTTTCAAAGCTAGTACATAGAACCCTTATCAGTGGCTTGAAAATAGAAACCATATGTAGCAGAGAGAAAGCCACATCGTTTCAAATGAGTAGCTCTTTAGGCAAATACAGACAGCACTTGCTTTATTGAAAAGTGTGCGTTAAAATGTATGGTCGAGCACATTCGCAAAATCCGATTTTTAGGAACAAATCAGCCATTGGACTACTTAAACTCACGAAAATGTCTGCAACTAAACGTGTTATGTTTTAGTCTTTAAGTGGAATGATCGAATTTATGCACAACAATGTTATTGTCAGTGTATAATATAGTATAAAACCGAGATAATGAAAGTTAAATAAATAAAGCACTCAACTTTTAAATATTACATTATAAGTTCGGAAATCAAGTTATCTGCTTTTGTTACAGAAATCAGGGTTCACATACTAACTATTGAACGAAGCTTGGAGCATTTAGCGGTGAACTAGTGGTTAAAACACGACTCTCATATATTAAATTACAAATTTCTATCCCCCTAGCCTACTTTTGAGACAGAAATAGCCCATACACAGGACGTATGGTTTAAAGCTAATTACACGATAGTACATTTGGTGACCGAGTTAAAGTATTGTAAAGGTGGAGCGTGTTCCATCGGCTGTGAGTAAAGGGATTACACCATCGAACGACAACTTAACAGTCATTCTGAAGACTAACTTTTGCTTCGAATTTTTTGTCTCCTATCTATGGAAAACGATGATAATGTTGGGATGATGACCTTCAAACTACTAAAATGAAATCCGTTAGACTAAGCTAGAAGTATATATATATATTCATATATGGAGTGAATAAATTTAAGATATATTCAAGCCTAAATTAAATCAGTCGCGTTATTCTCAGTCTATGACAACGAAGTTCGTTTGTGAGGACAAGAAATATCACTTTTACAGTGAAATAACCAGTAGTTTCTATTGCACATGTTGATAAATTAGGCTGGAATTTTATGGTCATGAGGTACGCAAAATACACAGTACAAAAATATTTCGAATACAGAGCGAAATGCAAAATATGTAAATGAACATTATAGCCCTGAACCTGGTAACTTCGTCGCAATTATAGATTCTGATTAATCAATAGCGATAGTCGGTAACAGGAACTTGGCATAAGTTCTGAACATTTTTAGCTGTCGCCGTCCACTTGAGTGACATAAATCAACTGTCACTATGCGCTACAATTTATGGGAAATACATATAGTATGTTCAATGGAGTAAACTGTACAAGGTGAATATCGTAAATTCCAATGACAGAAGAGGGGTATAACTGATTTGGCAACCAATATTCATGTAGTTTTATTGTCACTAATAGCAAAATCCAGCACTTATAAGAGACATGTTAAGTTTAGGCTTAAATGTTTAGACAAATAGATAACTATAAAACTAGTCGTTCCTAAGATCATTGACATAGACTATATGATCTAAACATCGTATTCGCTGTTACAAACGCGTGTACAGCCTTCGATAGAAAAAAGAGCTAGTAGCCTAATTACATACAATACAGTGAAATCTGGAGAATAAATAATTCGTACTGTAATCAATATTGAGAACGAATACCAGTTAAAAAACAAATCTAACTGACAAAAATGAAGGGCTGAACCGTTGTTAAAATGCTGAGCCCGCTTGTAGCTTATAAGCTATATCCCATGAGGACCATTTAGTCCTATGTCAATCAAATTAAATTTGTTTATAAGCGAAATTTGTGCGTAGTCCATCCCACGTAAAGAAAAAGAAAACCAGACCTTTTTAAATGGTGCATTTTGTAACCAGGTATGGATAAATCTCCTAAAAATAAAGAAAACACGCAGCACTAAAGCTTACTAAATATGAGCGCGACTACCCCACTCCCACACTGGTTGTGGATGGGATAGAAATTGAAGGAAGCGCTGAATTCTCATTGGTTAGTTAGTGACGCGCTGACTGTGATTATTTACATAGTTTTCGCTGGAAATTGAACTACCACTCATCAAAAGCACTTGCACATGCCAAACCAAATAATATACGTTTGCAGTTGAATGTTTTAGAACAGTAAGGATATGATGCCGAAATTCCCTTAAGCTCGATAGAATTATGTTCAGCACAGTTTTGACCACCGTATGACATTCGAATAAGAAGGCTGTGTAAAATAATTTCCGAAAGTAAGTAGTTCTATTAGCACCCGGAATTATTATTGACCTTGCTAGTTTTAGTGCGCAATCGCTGGTTTAAGGTGCTGTATCCAGTGTCACCACCAGACGACCCGGAGATCTAGTGTGGAACGCTTTTATTGCTGATGATGCGTTGGTTGGAGAATTTCAGTCAGTGCCTTATGCTCTACGAAGATAAGCAGGCGTAAGTAAGTAAGATGGATAGTTTAGACAATTTGCGATCGCTAGTCAGCTTAGATCAGTCAATCTCCAATACATTGATTACCTGTCAAATATAACTTCAAACCTCCTCGTTTCTGTCTTTTGATTTCACTTGGTAGGTACGATTCAGAGTAGAAGGTATTACTGGTCAAAGCATTGTCAGACTCTAATACCTGCAGCATCTTCACTGTTGAGCCCAACGTGATCTGGTACACCAAATTGCTAACTATGAGTCTTTTCATTTTTGGGATTTAATATATCATTGCTTTATTTTAATTTTTATACATTGTGATATTTTTACCGTGTTTTTGGATATATATTTTTTCCCGTCCATTCTTGTACTTGATATTTCGCCATGACGGATCAGACACCTAAGGCGCGTAAGTCAAAGACAATGTCCCTAACTTCGCTTCAATTAACAACCTGCTCAGACAACATCGAAGCGTGGTTCCGCTACGCAGAAGCCCACTTCCACGAGCACGATGTGAACGACACACGAGCACAATTCCTCGGAGTAGTCAAGGCACTACCGCGCGAATTCAACAGGTACGTAACACCTAGTATGTCTACTAGTGATGTTTCTCAACCGTACGAAACCTTAAAGCGTCCTATCCTTAAACGAGGAGACCTAACAGATCGACAAAGGTTAGACCAACTCCGTAACAACATGGATCTGCATCACGGTTCTGCGGCGGACATGTTGCAAAGGATGAAAGAGGTTATCGGCCTAAGAACTTTCGACAAAGGCCTATTCAAACAACTTTTCCTGCCCAAGCTTCCCCAACAGGTGCAAGCGGTTGTGGTCTCGTTTCAAAATAACGCCTTAGACGAGCTAGCTGCATCTGCCGATCGTATCTCAGAAATTACGAAATCTACTGCCAAGGTTTTTCAGTCGAAGAAAAGCCTCAAACGACTCCGAATGACATAACCGAGTTATGTCATACACTCACGCGTTATCTTAATCTTCGCAACGACCGTAAGCGATCACACACCCCACGTAGAAGCACTTCACGTAAGCGATCTGTCTCTAGACCACGAGAGGCGGTTAATCCCGAATGGTGTTGGTATCACAACCAGTATGGAAAGTCTCCCAGAAATTGCAGATTATCCTGAAATTTTCCCAACTCAAAACCCACCGACACGAAAAAAACTCGGGAAACTTCCAAGCCGGTACGTGTTAACGGCAAACGTAGCTGACGAAAACAGCCGTCTGTTATACGTCACAGATGTAATAACGAAAGTTCGCTACCTCGCCGACACTAGCGCAGAAGTTGGCATTCTTCCAGCAAATTCTCACGATCGTCCTCACGAATCGGTTCTAGACTTACAAGTGGCAAACGGAAAGCCAATCACAACATATGGTAAAAGGTATGTCTACATTAACGTCGGTCTACGCAAACCGATACACTGGATTTTCGTTGTTGCAGATGTTTCCATGCCAATCATTGGTATAGACCTGCTACAACACCGAAAGCTACTCATCGATACGCTCAAACGGAGGCTAATAGACGGAAGCACTTATTTATCTGTTTGCGTAACTCCTTTTTCTGATTGCAGATTATCTCCAGTCACAATTAAGCACACGATAGACCCACTTTATCAACCACTACTCGATAAGTATTCTGGGATTCTACAAACACAACCGTGTGTAACCAGCAACGTTACACATCACATCACGACTACAGGACCGCCTGTATTTTCGAAAGCACCCCGACTGGCTCGCAAAGAGCTAAGGCTGGCGAAAAACGAATTCGACCACATGATAAACTTAGGAATCATACGACCGTCAAATAGCTCATATGCATCTCCGTTGCACATGGTCCCTAAAAAGGACAGCAACGATTGGCATCCAACTGATGACTATCGGCGATTGAACGCGAAAACCATTCCCGATCGTTACACGTTGCCCCACATTCACGATTTGACAGTTACCTTGGAAGGTACAACTGTCTTTTCGAAAATCGACTTGGTTATAGCCTATAACTAAATTCCCATGGCCACTGACGGCATTCCAAAACCACTATCATTGCTCCTTTCGGTCTTTACGAATTTTTGCTCACGCTCTTCGGCCTAAGAAAAGCTGCCCAAACTTTCCAAAGGTTCATAGATGACGTTTATCGAGGTCTCAACTTCGTACATGCGTATGTTGATGACAGCTTGGTTGCGATGCTGGACGGAGGATCTCATCTCCAGCATCTGGATCTTGTTTTCGAACGGCCACAAAAGCATGGCGTTTCTGTTAACGTTGAGAAATATCAAATCGGGACTGACTCCCTATATTCATCCGGACACACTGTTTATGAGCAAGGCATCCGACCCCTTAGAACCAAAGTGGAGGCTACTCTGGATTATCCAGAACCGACCACTATTAAGCAATTACACACGTTTAACGGCCTAGTAAGTTTCTATAGACGATTCATACCGAAATGCGCATTACTTATGACACCTCTAACCGACTAACTTCGTAGAAATGTGAAATCCATCAATCTGGACAACACTACACGAAAAGCATTCTCCACAGTTAAGGAACTGATCGCTAAAGCAACAGTACTCGCTTATCAGGACACCGAGGCACCCATTAGTATCGCAGTAGACGCATCCGACTCAGCAATCGGGGGAGTCTTACAACAATGGGTTAACAACTCCTGGCAACCTTTGGCGCTTTCCTCTAGACGGTTGCTAGACATCGAACCGAGGTACAGCACATTCAGTGGGGAACTCCTAGCTATGTATTGTGCTGTACGGCATTTTCAACACTATATTGATGGCCGTGAATTCACCCTTTTCACTGACCATAAACCGTTTACCTTCTCCTGAAGCTCGTCCTCTGACAAGTACTCACCTCATGAGTCTCGACAACTAGACTACATTTCGCAGTTTACTTCAGACATCCAACACATTTCTGGAGCAAACAATGTAGTCGCGGGCGACTTGTCTCGCATAACTTCCTTGAACGGTTTCCGAGGAATCGACTTTCTTAAACTCGCCCAGCTTCAAAAAGAAGACACTGATCTTCAGCACGAGTTATCATCTACAACCCTCAAGTTACGCATCAAACAGATGGGAACAGGTAAAGAAACCTTACTGTGTGACACATCTACCGGTAGGGCTCGATCAATCGCGCCTTCGTCAAACGATGGGTAGCAAACTTCGGCTGCCCTTCAACTATCACCACAGACCGCGGACGTCAGTTCGAATCTGAACTATTCCGTCGTCTGACCAAACCCTTAGGAATGACTCGCTCCCGAACGACCGCCTACCGCCCACGAGCAAACGGGTTGGTAGAACGTTTTTACCAACAACTAAAAGCTTCGCCATCAGCTGCAAACGTTTCACAGTGGATCGGCGCTCTTCCACTCGTCTTACTAGGTATTCGCAATGCACTGAAAGCTGACATTGGATACACTGCAGCTCAACTCGTTTATGGAAGGACACTTCGACTCCCAGGAGAATTCGTGGATCCTTCATTATCTTCAATGAATAAGGATCTCTCCTACACGAGCAGGCTTACAAACGCAATGCGTTCCACTCGACCGCAGTCAACTGTCGCTTTCAACCTGACTTATGATATAGCACACACGTTTTCGTTCGTCGAGACTCGCGTCGATGACTTCTCGAATCAGCATACGAAGGACTTTTCAAAGTTCTTCAGAGCGAACCCAAGCACTATAAAGTTTATAAGAACGGAATAAACGATAGCATCAGCATCGATCGCTTAAAAGCAGCGTATTTAGAAGAAAATCCTATTCACGTCGGTTCCCCTTCTGTACAATCGCACAACACGACTCCTACGCTTATAATACCTCAACCGACAGGCAACACACACGATGATACTTCAATAGTATCAGAAAATAAAATTAAGACGACGCGTTCCGGTAGAAGAGTAAGATTTCCAGAACATTCAGACGATTATTGCACGTAAGGCACTACTTGACATTTTACATTATCTCGATTTTTTTTACCATATGTAATATTTTCTGAAAAAAAATTATAATATGCTTATATGTTTTTATTTTTATTTCAAAAAAACAAAACGAAAATACATAAAAATCCTTTGTAAACGATATTACGTGTATATGAGATTATTTCCCACTTTTTTCACCAGTTTTGTATTTTTACGCGCATACTAGGGTATTTCGACATCCACTTACATTATCTTCTTTCTTTTCCAGGACGGCTGGAAAAGAACGATGAAGTTTACGAGGAGCCTAAATTTTCATTGTACTTCTTTTTTTACTATACTGTACTTTATGGTCCCACATAGTAAAGAAAGACGACCAGACGCTGCTAAACCTAGCAAGCTATCAGAAGAGTGTTTACCAACGACAAAACTCGTTGGGTTTAATTTTCTGGCTGGCCACGTCTTAGGGTCATCACTAACCCACTAAGGGGTAGGGATCTGTGGCGGTAAATAAATCCACAAAATAAATAGCTCTGTAAGTTTTCGACATTGCATGCTGACCAGATTAGTTTTAGTGGACTCACCTAACTGAAGGCGCTCGGCCATGCATCCGCACCAGATCACGTGTGGTAACGCCGTGCTCAACATCTTCTGCAATCGCTAGCCAGACTAGATC